ACTCTCTCTTCTCTCCCCTTATATCCACCCTACATCGATTGCCTCTGCCATTTCGGGCACTGCCTTCTCTTTAAAAATAAACAAACAAAAGAATCAAACATTAGGACTACTGTGGAGATCAGAGATACATATGAGAAGTGCCTGGTATACAGCAGGTGCTCAATAGGTGGTAGCTATTTCCAGTGTGAGGCCACCTTGGCTTTGACTTTCCTCCTTCACATCCTACCTCACCCTCCAGTGCCACTGGCCGAGACCCCAAAACGCAGGCCTTCCAGGTTCCCTGAGGAAGGAACGCTTCCCTTGCTGAGCACAGAGCTCTGAAGGTATCCCCCGTGGACAAGCAGAAAACGTGCAGGGAGCAGTCATGAGAAGAATGGGGGGCACAGCCCTCTGGCAGGAGGCGGCAGCCCCGAGGGAGTGAGGGTGCTGCCTTGTCCCATTTTCCATCCAAGTCCCCACCTTGACCCCCAGCTCTTTCCCTCCAATCACTGAAGACACAGTTTTACTGCATAGCTCCTAAAACTCCGCACTCCGCCCCCCCAGCCCCCCTCACTGTTACCTGCAGGGCACCAACTTGCCCTGAGGTGTCAGGCTATTTTTTTTAACTAAGCATCAAATTACAATCAAACCGATTCAACGTGCATTTTCTGTGCAAAGCACACTGGGCTGCAAGAGGAAATCCCAAAATGACTAAAATCATGGGCCCCGACTTCAGTTTATTATCTAGTTAGAGAGATGAGGCATACGTGGTTAAACAGTGAACAAACAATACAATGTATTAAAAGTGACTTGGCGCTTATGAAATAAAAGTTAGCCAACAACACATTGTAAAATCAACACCAGCCAGCTAAGAAGGAGCCGGAAAGAGGTGGAAGTGGGCTGGAGCATCAAGAGATAATGATCATGGCTCTGAGCTAGGAGATGCCTGCCTCCCCGGGTGGAGAACCCTACAGGTGTTACACTCACTCACTCACCACCTCTGCTGGACCCTCATCTTCCTCCCTCTTCTGCCATTGAAGAAACTGAGATTAAGCCCTCCTGCTTCAGGGTTTCAAGCTAGAAAGCGACAGAACTGGGATTTAAATCCAAGCGTTTTTCTGAGGAAGGATGGCTTCGGGTAGCTCTTGAAGGCTGAACCGCATGAAGGGAGAAGGGGCTCTCCTCTCTGTGCCCCTGCTTGGCCTGTCCTTGTCCCTGGGCACGGCCTCCCCCTGCCCCCTTGGTGGATGGCTGGGTGTGATGCACGGGATGGGGAAAGGGTGCCGAGTCTGCTCTCTTGGCCCATCCCTGCCTGCGTCCTGTTCTCTCCTTGCTCGGAAATCCCTCCACGGAGGGGGTCTCATTTTACCCAAAGACACTGTGTTCTAATGGATGGAAAATTGTTCACTGCTTGTCAGGTTAGTGTTCATTTCCCGATCCTTAATGAATGATTTTCCACCAATCAGCCTGGAGTCCCATGCCCACCACCCCGTGGACAAGGCCTGAGTCTCTGAGGCCCTAAAAGTGAGGTCTGTAAACATCTCCCAGGGCCCAGCCCCTGCCACCAAGAGGGGTAACCAGCCCCACCCCCAGGCCTGGGTGCCCTCCCCTCCTCCACAGCCCCCAGGGACAGCTCTCCACACTGCATGGTCCTCTACTCAGGGCAATATGGTAAACTGATAAGCCTCCCCTCAAGAGTAGGAGCCCCCCTTAAAAAGGGGGAGAGTCTGGAGAGTGCCTTAGAGGTTCCTGGCACAGTTCATTAAGATACCAACCCTTAATGAAATATTTCTTTGTTAAAATCGTCATTTATCTTGGAGAACAGGGGCCTTTGTGGCAAAGAAAGAGGCTACCCCCTTCCATCCCTCCCCCACCTCCACCCAGCACAGATCCTCGGTCTTTCTGAGTCAGAAAGGTTGGGAAGCAGGGTGGGGAGGGGCAGCTGGGAGATGGGGAGGAGAGAAGATGCCAGAGTGGAGGAACCACAAAAGGAAAGGGGGTCAGCTTGACTGGTCAGGAGGCAAAGGAGGAGAGAGAAGCAGAAGGCCCTGGGTGGCTGGGTGGAGAGACGCTGCTCAGAAGGAAGCCCACTGCCGTGTGACCACAATAGCCAAACGTTGGAAACAACCCAACCGTCCATCACGGGGAGGCTGGGTCAAGAAATGGCAGTGAACTGATGTGACAGAACGCAAGCCTTTTCAGTGAATGACCTAGAGATGCACATAGCAAACCTGATTAATGTCAGCAACATGAAATTTAGTAAATGATACCACCAATAAATCGTGAAAGCAAGGAGCAGAAGGATAGTTTTTATTTAAAATTTCGAGACCCCCAAGCCACACTAAATGTTTAAGAGCGTAAAACTTACTTGGGAAGGCTACCTCCCAGCTTCTGGAAACCGGCTGCCTCTGGCAAAGGAAGGATGGACAAAGGGAGGGAAGGATATGGAAGGTTCTTGACTTTTATCAGCAACAATTTGTAGGCTTTTTTTTTTGAAAGCATAAAGAAAGGTGCACAGATCATAAGGGTACGCCAGCTCAATTGTCACAAAGTGAACACACCCACGTGACCAAATCCCCAATTCAAAAACTACAGAACACTCCCAGTCCCCCAGGAACCCCTACTTACTCGCCTGCCTAGAGTAGCCACTCTCCGGAGTTCTAACACCTCGATTTTGTTCGACCGATTTTTGAATTTCAGATAGGTGGAATTTCTCTCTCACGACTGGCTTTTATGCTCAACATTCTGTTTGTGAGACTTCTCTCTGTTGCTGTGTGGCAATGGCCTGTTCATTCTCATTACCAAGTACTAGCCCATGCATGAGAATACCAGCATTTATTCACCCATTCCACTGTTGATGGTTATTTGTGGAATGGCCGCTAAGACCATTCTAGTGTCTGTCTTTTGGTGAACACATTACGCATTTCTGTTAGTATATACTTAGGTGTTGAGACACTACATCATGCTGGAAAAGTTTTATTCCTTAATTAACTAAAAAACGGTTTGGTTTTTTTGACTTTTTTTTTTTTTTTGGCCACGCCACGTGGCTTGTGGAATCTTAGTTTCCCGACCAGGGATGGAACCAGGCCCATGGCAGTGAAAGCACTGAGTCTTAACCACTGGACCACCAGGGAATTCCCTTAAAAAACGGTTTTGAAGAGGGAAAAGAAGTAAAATTCAAGCAATCGGATGACTGGAAACATAAAATACCTGGGTCTAGATGTGTTGGGACTGTGGGAATAAAAGGACTGACGAATGTTTCTGGACATACACACACACCCCGTGCCAGGCCTGGTACTAAGAACAAGCTCACCCACTAACCCACTGCATCCCCACAACAGGGAGGCAGCTGACCCTGGGAAAGGGCAACTCTTCAGAGCAGGAAGACCTGTGAGTTAGTCCTTGCTGTACCATCTTCTAGCTGTGTGATCTGGGGCAAGTTGCCTCACCTCTCTGAGCTTGAGTACCTCGCTGTAAAATGAGAAAAGCCTCTATGCCAGGGGCGATGCAGCCAAATAGCACGTGAATCAAGTACCTGACACACCGCAGGCGCTTACTAAGTATCAGCTGCAGATGTATGTATGCTTTGCAGTTTTGTGAAGTCGGTATTCTCACTTTTAGGTGAGGAAACTGGAGCTCACAAAACGGAAAATGAGTGTTTATGGAAAGTATCTGATGAACAGGTCACAGAGCTAGATGCTTTGCCCAGGCTTTTTCATGTCACCCTCCCAACCCCCCAGGAGGCATTCTCCCAATGTCGTGGATGAGGAGACTGGCTCCATCCTGTAACTTGCCCGGATCACACAGTTGGTAAGTGACAGACACTGACGTTCAACCCTAGGCTGTCTCACTCCAGTCTCTGTGCTCTCAACCATGGCCTCCATAGTAGGACAGGCCATGGGTCCCGGTTCTTGCCACACCACAGCCTAGACCTTTTGAAGGAACAGGGACAGAAAGAGGACCCTCCTGCCTGTTCCCAGGCACTCTGGTTCAGGAGCCAAGGGCCACTTTTTTGAACCTTTTCCTAGAGGTCCTGCATCAGAAGGAAGGACTCTGGACTGGCTGCTTTAATTTTGGGGTGTGTGCTCTGTATCTTTCTTTGGTTTTATGTTCAACATTCTGTTTGTGAGACTTCTCCCCGTTGAGGCTTTGCTTCCTCATTAAAATGCCCTTTAGGTGAGGCCCAGACAGGATCCTTTGCCTCCTTTGGGCCCCCCACTGTGACTCACAGGGTGCTGGGAACTGAACTGGCCTGGAGATGAGGGTAAGCTGAAATGAAAGCCAAAGCATTTCCTAGGGAAATCCCTTTGGGCACGTGAATCCACGTGTGAGGTATGGAGGGCTGCCGCAGGAAGGTGATGGTAAAGGATGCAGTGGGCATGACAGCCAGCCAGAGAAGCCCACTGGAGGTCACCTCATTCCTTCCTTTGTATTGAAAGTCCCTAGTTCTCACCTGACCTGAAGCCTCTGTAGGATGGATGGAAAGGAGACCTGAGGGGCATGGCGTGGTCATAATCCAGCCGGGCTTACACAAGAACCTGCCAACTCCAGGCCATGCCCAGGCCTGTCCACACACCCTGACTCCCACCAGCGCTGACTCTCCATAGAAAATAAATAGAGTCACACCACCAAAGGCTTCCTTTCTCCCAAACTATACTCCTCAGGTCACCCACAAGCAGGCAGTACTGCTTTAAAGGCCTCACAGAAGTAGCTCTGGTTGAAATCCTGCTTCATCACTTACCAGCCGGGTAAGCCTGGACAGTGACTTAACCTTTTTGGAAAATGGAGGTAATAGTACTATCTACTTATAGGGTTACTGTGAAGATGAAATGAGTCCTATGCCTGGCATGTGGTACGACTCAAAGGTTAGCTGTGGTTATTTTATTCTTATTGCTTCTGCTCTGGCTACACTGGAAAGGACCCTGTGGTATCCACATAAATGGTGCTTAGGGTCCTCCTCCCAACAATTTGACACTAGCTATTTGAAATACTCCAGCAGAAGCTGAATATGCCCGTCACACCTGCCCTGTGTAGGGCAATACATAGGATCTAGACCTGGACAGATAGCACTGACATTACAGCTCTTTCTGGCTATTTGTACCCACAGAAAAGGGATGGAATAAGGGATGGAGAACCCGAGGGGGAGCCTCCTCTCTTTTTCTTCCAAGCCCCATTGGAGAGGCTTCTCCTCCAAGAAATCCTCTCTCCCCAGGCCACAGCCCTGGCATACCCTAAGCTCCAATCCCTAAAGCACCCCCAGCCCACATTCCACAGGATCATCCTGTGTCTGCCCGTCTCCACCTGCCTCGGGTGATTTGGGGCAGGAGAGCCTTCTAGAGCCACGGCCTTCCTGCCCTCCCCCCACAGCTGGGTCCTCCCTTGGTCATGGGCACTCCTTGAAAACCCCTGAGGTGTCCCTCACCCCTCCCCACTGCAACAGACCGGAGATGTTTTGGAGGTGGAAGGCGGGGGAAGGATTTATTCAGGCTTCCACGGGTCTCTGAGTGGGGCGCCTGCTACCAGCACAGCCCTCCCCCCTTGGATCTGGGGCCTTTCCTCATCCAGACTTCCCCCTCCCGACCCAAATACACACCTTGGCTACCGCCACAATCCCTCCGATTCCTCCCCGCACCCTACCCCGCCCTCAGGCAAAAGACGTTGAGTTTTGTTTACAATCTAATTTGTCCGGATAATTGCTTCTACTTTGCACTCCGCTCTGCCCGCGTGGGTCCAGCTTTGGGCCCTTTCTTCACCGGTTCGCAGAGCACTTTATGGGAAATTCCCCTTCCGGAGAGGGAGGCGGCGCGCGCCCGGGGTGACCGTTCACAAAGCCCAGAAGGAGCCTTCCCACCTCCCCCACCCCCCGGTTCAAGAGCCCACCCCCAGCCCCACGCAGTGGGGCGCAGAAGGGAGAGGGGGAAGGACACCGGCTCCGGGCTCTGGGCCCCCCGGCCACTCCCTGCATAGGGCGCAGCCCGCCGGGAACCAATGAACCGTGTGGGAGCAGGGCTTGGCCGTACCTCCAGACTCCAGGGAAAAGCTGGAGTTTGCAAAGCGCGCCAAGGGATTCGCAAGGCCAGTGTGAATCCCTGGGGTCTCTCCACCTCCCCCCCCCTTTTTACAGGATCGCAGCCCTACGTCTTCTCCCCAGATCCCCATCTTTTCTTCCCCTAAAGTTTGGTCCACGTGGTCTCCTCTCGCTCACGACTTGGCTGCCGGGCAGGGTGAAAGTTGCTGCACCTGCTTTAGGTGAATTATGGTAGCGCTAGAAGTTGGTCTCCCTCCCTCCGCTGCTCGCTCGCTCGCTCCCTCCTCCTTCGCTCTCCGCGCGCTCCCTCCGTCCCCCTCCTCCCCGCCCCCTCCCGCCCCGCCCGCGCGCCGCCCGCTCGCAGCCACTCGCTGCCCGGGCTCAGTCGCAGCCCCTCGGAGTCCGGAGCCGGCCGCCCCTGCGGACCGGACTGTGCGGCCGGCGGCCGGGACGTAGCCCCCAGCCCGCGAGGAGGGCGCGGCGCAGGCGGCGGCGGCGCAGCGGGGAGGAGCCCGGGCCGGAACCAGGGCTGGGCCGGGGGCGGGGACGCCGGGGTCCCGGAGCCCCGGCGCCCGAGCGAGCGAACAAGCGTCGCGGGAGGATCGGGAAGGAGGAGCACAGCCGGAGCAAGCCGAGCTGCCCCCAAAGTGCGATGCCCCGGCGAGGGTAGGGCGCGCGGCGGCCGGCCGGCGCGGCGCGGAGGGAGGACGCCCGGGAGCTGCGCGGCGCCGAGCGGCGCGGAGGGGCAGTCCCAGCGGGCGGCGGCGGGCCCGGGCGGCGACCGGAGCGAGCCCCATGCCCCGCGCGGGTTGACGGGCCGGAGCCCGCACGGAGCGGCCGGGCCGGACAGGTAGGTGGCTGGCCGAGCTCGGGGACGCGGGTGGGGGCTGGGCCGGCGACCAGACCAACTCCCTCGCTCGCGCACTCTCTCGCCCGCTCACTGGCTCACTTTGTGTTTGCAAACTGCCCGCGGGAGACGCGCCGGGAGGAGCCGGGCCCAGGCCGGCGCACTTTGTTCCAGCCGGGGCCGGCTGCGGCGCCCTGACCCAGCGCAGCCGCGACACCCACCCCGCCCCGGCTCAGGCCCCCGTGGGCCGGAGCTGCCTGGGGAACAGGTGGGGGCTACGGCGCGGCGCCGGGGGGGCGGGCAGAGGAGGTCGGCAGGGGTTGGGGGGGCTGGAAAGGCTACTAAGGTCCGCCCTCCCCCCAAGAATCTAGGACCGGCCTCCTCCTGGCCTGGCCGCGAGGAATGGGGTGTCTGGGGGCGCGACCACCCCCCCGCCCCGAGTCAGACAAAGAGTACTTCCCAGCCCGGACTTTCCTGAGCCGGGGAGGGAAGTGGTGAAGTGGGCTCCCCCAACCCCAGTCTGTCCAGGACTCCCCAAGACGCGCCGGAGGCAGATAGATGGGGGGGGGGGCACCGCGGTCCTATCCAACGCGTCGCCTTAGGTGAGGAGGGGACTTGGTTTGCTGGGGTCGCACCTCGGAGGTTCCGGGGCCAGTCAGCGCCTTTCCGCCATACCTGGGTCGGCTGGGAGATAGAGCGGAAAACTTCTTGGGGACTTGAGAGCGTCTGGAAACGGTCCCTTGTGATTTTGTGCGCCGGTGCTGGCGGGTGGGGGGTTGACCCGGCCGATATCTTCATTCACCCCATTTGGGGAGAGCCCCGCCTCACCATGTAGTGGGGAGAGAAGGCGGCAGCAGGGTTCGGAGGCCGCCAGGGACGAGTGCCCCGGGATAACCAAGCAAGACCCCCCTCAGATCCAGGACTGTGGCCTCTCCCCTGGACAGCCTCCTGGCAGACACCTCTCTTTGAGAGGCGGTCATCTCGGCAGCTCTCGAGTCTTGCGCTCCCCATCAACGCCAAACTAACTAACTTCAGCTGAGCCCAGCTACAGCTCGAGGCGCTAGAATGCGGGGCGCCCTGAGCGACCTGGGGTCCCGGCGTCCCCGGCAAAGGACTCTGCGATTTCGCGGGAGGCGGATTCTGAGTCAGAGGCCCTGACGGCTGCGGATTCCTTCTTTCCAACTGGGGCGACCTCGTGAACACATCGGCGTCTCACCCGGACTGTCTAGGTTAGGGGAAGAGGATACGGGAGCGCAGAGACCCTGAGCCCTTAGAACACCCGGCTCGTCCCTTTGCACCGCGGGCCTCTCTTGCCATCCCCCGCCTGACTGATTTCCTCGCTCACTCCGTGCCTGGGGTTTAAGGCGTCTGGAGATCACCGCGTGTCTCGCACCCCAGCGCCGGGTCTCCCTGCTGATTGACCTCGGAGCCTGGAGCAGGGGTTGGAGGTGGGGTACCCGGAGGAGAAAACCCAAGTCTGAAGCTGTCATCCCCGTGGTGGCTGAGAAAGCCCAGGAGCATTTTGGCCAATGCGGGTTTTCACTTGAACTTCAGCATGTTCATCCCGTGTTAAAGCGGACGCCTGGATTGTCCCAGGGCGAACTGTGCTGGGTCTGGGATTGAGGGCCTTGGGAGCGCAGTTTGAGAGGCAGCTAGGGTCGGAGCTGGAGGCTCACCTGGGTGCCCCCTTCTCCCACCCAGAAGGAAGGAGCTGTGGGATCATCTGTACCGCCAGTAGCCATGGGAGGGTCTGACCGGTCCCATTGTGGAGCACAGTGGGTAATGGAGACCTCGACACCAAGAATTTGAACCCAATAGCTCACTTCTGGGACGGAGCGCTGCTGGCGCTGGGCATTTCAAGCCGATGACCCTCCTGGTGAGCTAGCGGGTGGGTGCAGGGGCCAAAGGCCCAACAAGCGGGCCAGGCCCCAGCTGCCCTAGGGAGAGCCCCCCACCTCAGACAGCCCCTGCCCCAGACAACCCCTGCCCAACCTGGCAGAAAACCGCTGCAGGGGATGGGAGATCCACAGGCTTATTTTGTTTTTATTTTTGTTTTAACTTTGTCTTGCCTGGGTTCTGGGGCTCTTTGTCACCTGGCAGGAGGGAGGGAGGGCCCTGAGACTGTGCTGCGGGCACCTGGACAGCTTGCTCACTCTGGCACCCTTAGATCTGAGGCTCTCAGAAGCAGGGCTATGTCTCGTGGGGCTCCCCATTTGGCGTCACTCCCCCCTCTCATCAGTGGGGCAACGTGGCAGGGGGAGGAGGTGGCTGTAGAGAGTGTTCCCCGCCACCTCAGGACCCCTGTAAGATGTGAATCTCTCCTGGATCCCCCCCACTACCTTAGCCCCATCGCAGTCTTGACACTAAACTGGGGGGAACCATGGGAACCTTCTCTCCTGGCACTAAGTGCTGGGCCCCTGTCCTTCTCCCAGTCCTGGGCAGGTTTTGCAGGAGTTATGGAGTTGGTGAACCCGTGAGCCCTGCGGGGAGAAAGACCTGACACCAGTGCTGGGGGGTGGGGGGAGGGCAGGTTGGGCCTAACTTGAAAAAGGACCTGTCCCTGTCCCTTTCTGTGTAGGTACACTTCTCACACCTAGACATCCCTACCCCAACCTCCTTCCCTGTGCCTTTAGCCAGAAACTTCCTTTCTGGCTGCTGGCAGGTAGATCCCTTCTTGCCAGGAATGTGCATATCCTGCTGGGCCCCTACTCCAAACACACCTCTTCCTTAGGGGCAGGAAAGGAGGGGGGAATCCTTTAATCCATTAATTCCCCAAAGGTTTGCTGAGCCCCTATTCTGTCTGGGCAGGTCCCAGGCTGGGCACTGGTGTGCCCAAGCAGTGAGGGCTGGGGTCTGCACATTGTCAGGGTAGGAGAGGCAGATAAGATATCACATTAGAGAGAGGAGGGTGGGAGCAGCGTGTCTGTTTCAGAGGAAAGGTATGAGGTGCAAGGGGGGAAGGGCCATCTCCCCAAGAAAGCTTCCCTGATCTTCCACACCTGGAGTAGCTGCACCCTCCTTCCCTACATCCTAATCCTTTGCTGCCCCACTGCCTTGGTGGCTTTCTTGTCTCTCCAGCTGAAATACAGACCCCTCCATGCCCATCCCAAGCAGGCACAATGTCTTTACTTTTCTAATAACCCAAACTGTGCAAAGTAATAATTTCTTCCATCCAAGGAGCTCCGCACAGTTTCCTTTCAAAATCTCCCAGCTTCCCAGACCAAGGCAGGGCAGGCACTGTTTCTGACAGGATTCTGAGGCTCCGATGGCTGAAATGACTTCCTATGACTTGGTTCCAGAACCCTGGAACCCAGGGCAAGGAACTCAGGCCTCCCCAGGGCAGAACATGGGTCACAGGGGAAAAGCCTTTGGAACTTGCCAGTGGTGGTGGGTCTCTGGAGAACTTAGTTAAGCTATTGGAACCTCAGTTTTCTTATGTGTAAGGTAGGTCAATGATAACCGTTTACAGCCTGGTTGGGAGCAGGACGGAAGAGCAGACGTAAAGTACCTAGCATAGTGCCTGGCGCAGGGTAGTACTGCCCAAGGGGTGGCTTTTATTATTAGATTCCCAGCACCGCCAGGCCACATGCTGGACTGAATACTGGAAATTAATCTCCATTTTAGGGGTTTGGAAAATGAAGCCCAGAGAGAAGAAGCAACTTGTCTGAGGTCACACAGTTAGTTAGTGGTAGGGCTGGGACTAACATGTAGGGCTCCTAGGACTCCCAGTGTAACCGGTAGGGCTTGAGCCTCTGCTGTGGGGAAGGGAGAAAGGAGGGGATGGGAGGGCCTGCCACTCCCCATCCCTTCTTCAAAAGCTCAGGCCTGCGTCCCTCTCAGCCCTCCAACGAGAGGGCTGGGTTTCCTCCTCCTGTCTTCCCTTTAAGGGAAGGTCTGGGCTCAGAACTTGACATTTCCCACCTGCACATGACCCTGGAAGGTCCAGTCATCCCCCCTCCCCACAACATCCTAAGGTGCTCATGGAAGCAAAAATGGGAGGGATAGTTCCCTAGAACACAGAGGAGGAAACATGGCCAGCACCACCTTTCTCCAAAAAGGGAGACTTTTTATGGTTTGGAACCCTGGCTTATGCAGCGTTATGGAAGACAAGCTTGGCAGGCAGTCTCAGATCAATCTGGGACCTACTCCTGGATGGATCATCTTAAAGAAGCAAAAAGAAACTTCCCTTGAGTGTGAAGTTTCCGCCTCTTTCAACATTGCCTCCCTGGATTCTCCATGGAAATGCACACCTTCACCCACGGCCAGTTCTGCCCTGCTGGGGTTACAGCAGGAACCCTCTACTCCAAACCCTGAGGCTTGCAGACGCAGTGGTCTTGTGAGACTGCGTTTCGTGGGCCCTGTGCAGAGCCTGGACTTGGGGCATGCCTGCCTGAGCTGGAAATGAAGAGCTCCTAGCACAGAAGGTGCCCAAAGCATCTGGTCCCTCAAAGGAGTGAGCCACTCAAGCCTGGGCCGGGCTGATGCCCTTCCTTCCTTTGTGCCTTGTCCCAGGATGACTCCTCCCAGGATCTTTACCTGGCTGTCCCTTGCTCCAGTGCAGCCCGGTGCCTTTCTTCTCCCCAGCCCTGGTCATAGCCGTGCAGCCTGTTCCCCAAATCCCAGCAGCTCTGCCCACGTCCCCAGGCCCCATCCTCTGCCCAGCTGAAGCCTCCCAAGCTGGGGGGACCTGAGGGTGCGTGGAGTCGTTGGTGGTGCAGGGCATGGGGAAAGTCCTCTCTCCTACTTGGAGTTTTCTCATGACACCTGACCTGGGCTACGGTGCAAATGGGAGGGAGGGGAGGGGAGATGGTTTTTCCTCAGACAGTAACAAAGTGAGGTGTGTAGACCAGTGACCCTCTGCATGTGTTCAAGGTAGGCAGGGTCAGCGGGTGGAAATTACCCAGAATTCCCCCCGGCAACGAGGGAGGGACACATGGTGGTGACAGGAGGGCAGGGTGGATCCGGGCATGGAGACCGGGACTCCTGCTCTCCATTCCACAAACATGGTGGAGCCATCGTTGTGTGCAGTGGCCCGCAGGAGTCTAGGTGAAGAGGTTTAATAAGAGGGGGCTCGCTTACAACTTGGAAAATCAGAAATGGAGCAAGTGCCCCAGCGAGGATCTTTCCCACAGCTTCCGGCGACTGGAGGCAGGCTCCGGTCCTCACACTCCACAGCCGGCACAGGATGCAGGTGCTGGCCCTGAGAGCCTCCAGGAGGGCTGAGCTGTGTGAAGGGAAACTGTCTCGTGGGCTGGTGAAGGAGCTTCTGTTCTTGTTTCTTCAACCGGGCGTGCTGGAGGGCGGGCTCCCTGGGATTCATTTTCCCAGCTCTGGAGCTCAGGCTTCCAGGAGACCCAGGCTGAAAGAACTTGGTCCAAAAGAGGGTAGCATATACTTCCTCCTTTCACTCCTTCAGGGGATTCTTTGGGCAGATGTGTATCACACCCTGAAAGAAAAGGGCGGGCGCAGCTGAGGAGAATTTGGGGGAGAGATGGGAGCTCAGGATTTGCAGGAGACCGAGGGAGCGGCGGCTACTGTAAGTGCTCGGGCGCAGAGCTCTGGAGGCATCCACATCTCTGGGTTGGAGCCGGAGGCACAGAGGCACTTGTGAAGGTCGGATGCTGAGGGTGCACAGTTGGTCCACTTGGGAGAATCCTTCCTTTAGGAAGCCTCCGGGGTTCTCAGGAGAGCCAGGGCTCCCGGTCCTTGCCCCCCAGCTGCGGGCACTCACTCT